TATATTATGTACATGTACTCTATTTTTTTGTCAATATTTTGGCTAAAAAGGGAGATTAAAGTGTTGTGTCCTAATGTTATATCACATGTATTGACATATTTATCTATCATTGTGATATGATTGTGTGATATTTCTTTTAAAAGAGTAGTTGTGTGTGTGTGGTTACTCAAGCAACTATTAGAGGGAACATGATAGTCATGCTTGCTTGTGTGCTTCTGCTACTGCTGGTGATGTAACCAGTTTGTGCATGATGAAGATGTCATAATTGATGTTCTAACATACTGTTTGGTGTAAGTCGAGAATCCTTTGGATTTCTCTTATGGTGTGGATTTCTCCTTCAGGGAGAGAGTCTATTTATGTGTGGCAGGGTGAGTGCTAACATGTGTGTATGCGTAGATGTTATAACTTTGATATATGTATATATTTATGATGTAGTTTGTTTTGTTTATGGTTTTATTCTTCTCTCCAGGTTTGTTGGCCTTTGGTTGTTTTAGCCAAAATTTGCCAACGGGGGGGATTGTTAGTACCATGGTTTTAGGATTGGCAACAATTTTGCTAAAACACGGTTCTAGTAATGTTGTGCAAGATGTTATAACATCTGCAGTAACTGTCTTGACAGTTCAATTGTTATGTGTTTTTTAATCAGATGTCGTGACATCTTGGTCTGGTATAGCATGTGTTGTTGTTTTATTTCTTGACAAGATTTGATTTAATTTTCTAAGATTCCTTTTGGATATATCTCGGTTATTTTTGTAAGTCAAGGTTTTTAAATCTGGAACACTTTGATTTATCTCTAGCTGTTAGTTTGCCGAAATTGGGCTTTGAGATAATTAAGGAAACCTTGTATTGTGTTCCAAGATTCAAGGATATTTCTCTGCATAGATTGGCGCATCTCTCAGCGTGGTCAACAAGAAATATCTAGGCTCAAGGATTGCTGAATAGTATTTAATGAAACTACCTAGACCTAAATTCATTAAGAATTTTGTAAAAAATAAGGGGAAGTTGTATTTTCTAAGTCTTAAGTTTTGAGGGTTCTTCAAGGGGTTTATGTTTTTATTTGTAAGTCCTCATGTATATTTTTTTTTTATTTGAGTTGACTAATTGTTACTTGACAGTTTGTCAAGTTATTGTTTAAATTATGGTATTCATATTACAAATATCCTAACACATATGAGACATTGATCTCTGCAAAATAACACATGGACATAATACACCAAATTGATACAAAACATATCAGTCATGAGTCGTAACGGATGTCCCAACATCTTATGTGACATGTTAATCAATCAAAAACAAAAACTGAACATAATATAAAGATAAACACACAGATATGATGATCCAGCTCAGTGTACAATAATACCTACTCCGGGGGCTACCAAGCCAGGAAGGAAGTCCACTATCATCAGTATTATTTCAAAGCTAAACTCCCCCATTAAAAATTCTCGCCTAATCCATACCCAATGCAACTTCTACCTAGGTTCTCCCTAAATATGAGAAATCGACATCTCACTTCTTAAATCACCTCAATGATATTTCTTTCAATTACAACCAATCCAGTAAGACTCTTGACTAACAAACACACTTGGATTTGCTTCAAAGCATCATCCAAGAACAATACATGATTCATTACCTAAAGGCTTCTGAATATGCATAAAACTATGTCTACCACAATGTATCATATCGATACAAAGGGTGACTTATAACCCAAGAAAGTACATGACTTTTCAAAACCCTAAACCCTTATTTAACTTCTAACTTTGATACACTTGATTTAGTTAATTTTCCCTAGAACTAAGTCTTCCTTTTATAATCTTCAAGGAATTGGATTTGGGCTTCAGAACAGCAACTGATCTGTTACCGAAAATCAACAGAAACTTCTCCATGAAGATAAGGCTTCAATCATAATCTTCCTAATTTATCTCCATAATTAGAAAGTCACAATTCTCCTTGAAATTAGCTTGAATCTTCTTCAATATTCAACTTGAGCGCCATATAGGATAGCATAATATTCCAAAATATTATGCACATGAAATATATCAATTCAATCCAGCTGTCCAGCTGATCACAAGCGTCATGCCGAATGGCTCTTTATAGGACATATTCATTTGACATGTCTCTCTGATGATGAAACATGTTAGTTTAGCACTTATGAGTTCTTCAACTTGAACACAACATATGGTTACCAAATATTTCCAGAAAGAACCATACTTGTAACCCACTCACAGAATCCAATCATCAAGTTATACCAGATAAGATGTCAGATGATCATAATGAGACATCTTGTTCAACATCCAATTTTACCAAAATTAGTCAAACCTTTAAAGTTCAAATCTTTGGAGCTTTCGATCTCCCCCTTTTGGAAAATTTTGGCTAAAAATCCTTTTACACTTGTTGTACCCCAAAATTTACCCTCCCATATTTGAGAAAAAATGGTTCAAGATACCTCTTCATGCTTATGAAGGTCTCAATTGCTCAAGACTTATCAAAGATTGATCAGATAGACTTTCCTCCTAAGCAATTGACCTACAACTAGGGTTTTGCTTCTCTCAAGGGAAATTGGAATCCTAATACCTCAAGTGGACTTCATGTTTCCTCATATGCTTCAAAGAATCCTCATGCCAAATTTTAAACCTTGCAGCACAAGTTTGCTTAGTTAATTGCTCAGATGATTGAAAATCAACTATATTGGACAAAAAGTCAACTTTGACCAATCTACAATCAAACTTCAAGATCTTTGGTCAACATCAATATTTTTAAGTTACATTCATCATTTGATCAAGGGTTGATCATGATTCATCAAGAAAACTCAAGATTCATCAAAAGTAAAAATTACTAAATTAGAGTTTTCTTTAGGAGAAGTCAACTGAACTTTGACCAAACATAACTTTCACATACTTCATCAGAAATTTCTCAACCAAAGCCTATCTTGAATGAAATTCAATTCTCTACAACTTTATCTCTCTAAGCTCAAGACCAAAAATGCTTCATTTGAGAGATATGAGCCAAAACATCACATGTCATTTTAAAAGTCAACAAAAATACATCTTTTGTCAAAGAAATTTACATAAAGATAAAGGATTCAAATGAAAAAATGACCAAAATGAAGGTTGTAAGAGACATCTTGAGGTTTCCAAAAAGTCCAAGATCACCTTTATATGACAAAAATTGAGAGATTTGTGATTGGTTCAAGTTGGGCAATTTTGAGAAAATATATGAAGTCCAAATTGAGAAAACTTGAATTTTTGAGCTAATTGGCCTAAGTTGTTAGGTTCAAACGTGTTCATGACCTCATTTTAAACCTCCAAACCCATTCATATATTTTTTTATGATTTTTATTTCTTTTATTTGGATTTTATTCATTTAAATACAAATTAAATCAAATAAAATATGAAAGTAATGGATCAAGGCGTATGAGCTCTTGTTTTGATCAGATTTAAAGTCTAAAAAGCTCATGACCAACTAGCAAAAACAATGAATTTGTTAAAATCGCTATTCTCTCTCATATTTATTATTGTTTCTTAATATATGTAAAATGATCAATTGTGACAAATAATATAGTACGAGAAAATAATAATTTTTAGGTGTGTGAATGGTTTAATTAAATCCTCACTCTAGACTTCACCTAAATAAACAATGAATTAAAAGGTAGTGTATTGAAAAAATATTATATTTTTTCTTTAATTAAATAAAAATTTGGGATTGACTGTGTGTAAACTATTTCTTATAAGAGAAAAGAGATGTACTGTCAACCAATGACATATTTTATTTCTTGCTTCTTCTGTCGTCTCTTATCAACGCGGACACATGCAATTTGAGAATTACAGCAGGTTATTCATTTTCTCCAATTGCATCACTTAACTTTGTCATTTCATGTTTATTCAAAGCCTTTGGCTTTTACTTGAATATATGTCCTTACCATGAATGCCCTTTAAATGTTTGTTGAAATGTTTCTTCCAATTGTTTGTACATATATTCTAATATTCTGCTGTAATTTTTGGTAAGCGGCATTCATTTCAATAGAGTTAAATTCCCTTCTTAATTAATTTGCACCATTTTCATCATCTCTGCTGCTAACCCTTCTATCCTATGCAGTTTCAACTCTGCTCTGATTTTCTTCCTTCAGACCACAAAGGATAAGTCCCTGGTTGTAGGACTTCCAACTATTGAAATATCACACATAGTCACAACAACATAATGTTTATAAGTTTCCACAATGGATATTATAAATGAATCTTGTCATCCACTTGTTTAGTGATGACATGCGATGAAAATAAGAGGTATGTACTTCTAATATTCCCCCAAAACAATTGTCCCAACTAACTTATTTACAAACTAACTTTTTTCACGAGAGGGCATTTGGTCTAGTGGTATGATTCTCGCTTTGGGTGCGAGAGGTCCCGAGTTCGATTCTCGGAATGCCCCTCCCTTTGGAAGTTTTTAGCACATACCGAAATAACATTTGCAAGTGTTGTTTTGCCAGCATTCTGAAGGACAATAAAATATAATATTCTGCTGTATTTTGTGGTTACATTATGGAAGTGGGATTGTACAAATGTTATTTTTGGTGCAGGGTGTGATACACATGAATTTACTTTCTAAATGGTAGAATGTTGAGAGTCACATATGGGATAGTAATATGGTCTAAATTGTGGTTATAACTTAGAAGTGGTGAGCATTCTCTGACCTTGCCAGTTGTGAGCAATGTAGGATTTCCAAAATAGATTGTAATTCCTTAGGTGAGTTAATGTTAACTAAAACATGAATGCTCTGATCTCCTTCAAATTACGCAGCCAACTATTCCACTTCGAACACAACCGCTGTCCGTACTAGTACAGCTATAAAAAATCCTGTTGAACCAAATTTTTTTGCAACTGCTTATTGACTCCCTTAAATTCCCCTTGGCAACTCCTTTTGTGTCCGCCCCCTACTTCCAGACAATATTTGAGGGTTTCTTGAAATGTTGAGCTTAATTATCAGACTAGCTTGCTATCTATGAATTTATGAGATGCTCTCATTGTCAACCAAAGTCGTCACCTTCCTTCCATCAATACTCCTCCCCAAATGTAAAGAAAGAACCCAAGGGCCATCTCGCATTATATTCAATGAAAGCTATACAAACTTGCACTCAAGCATATGTGCCTCAATGTGCTCTATTGAGCCGTTTTCCTCTTTTTCTCCTTTTTCTTCTTTCTTTCCTGCGCAGTTTCAACTGTACTCTGATTTTCTTCCTTCAGGCCACTAAGGATAAGTCCCTGGTTGTAGTAGGACTTCCAACTGTTGAAATTCCACACATAGTCACAACAAGATGTTTGCAAGTTTCCATTGTTTTCAATGAATTCAGTTATTTAGTGTACGAAAAGAAGAGATCCTTTGACATAATAAACTTTGAGGTTAGTGCTGTTAACTTCTGAGTTTCCTTCCTTTATCAAAATTAAAGGATACAGTAACACAATGGTTAAAGCATAGACATTACCCCTGCCGGAGGAATTGGGAGTGGAGACAGAAATCCAAGTGCAGCATCAATCTCAGCATTGTTGGGCTTGTGTTGCCTCATCAAATAGGTTTCGGATGTATAGTTTGATTTGCATATTGCATTTATTTATCTGACACAAGAGAACTATGGTATTCAATGTTGATAACATGTTGACTTGAATGTGTTCTTGCTTCAGTCTTATAATGACATCCTATTGGATATGGATATTTGAAATAAATCTTGTCATCCACTTGTTTAACGATGACATGTGGTGAAAAATAAGAGGTATGTACTTCAATTTTCTCCCCTAAAACAATTGTGCCAACTAAGTTATTTACAATCTAACACTCTTCACACCAGGGCATTTGGTCTAGTGGTATGATTCTTGCTTAGGGTGCAAGAGGTCCCGAGTTCAATTCTCGGAATGCCCCTTTTTTGAAGTTTAGGATATTTGAAGCTAACAACTCTAGCTCAATTATAGGTCTTAAGAATTTGTATACATTAGCTCTGATCCCCCTCAACAACGTAGTAGTTAATACCACCAATTACTTTCTGTCAGCTTCAAGATCTTAGACAATAAATAAAAAAGTTAAACTTCTTGATGTTGAGCTTAATTATCAGTCTAGCTTGCCATTTATGAAGTTATGAGATGCTCTCATAGTCAGCCAAAATCCTCTCCTTTCTTGAAATTTTGATTTCAATGTTTTTTTTGCTAGTCTTGATCAGAAAACCTAATGAGATCCTATTGGATGTGGATATCAGAAATAAATCCTGTCATCCACTTCTTTAGTCATGCATGACATATGGTGATGAATGCTGTGACACATGAATAATGTATCAGTAGACAAACCCTTCCTTATGCAATCACAATTGACTAATAATTTCTTCTATTGTAATGTGAAAAAATTGCATTGTTGTATGACATGAAATGTTGGATGGTAGAAAGCAAGCACAAAAATACTAAGTGTAGCATGGGCGAGGTCCATGAGAAAGCTGCATTATGTTAAGAGTCTTACATCAGATAATATATATAGCCTAAACATACTATTAAAACGATTTATCAAAAAGCGTTTGTGGCCTAGGGGAAGAAGTAGACGCCCAAACCATTAATTTTACCGGTTCGATCTTTATTGTGTATATTTTGTTAAAAATTAATAAAAATGAGTTGGAATTGAATTAATTATTGTATATGTGGATTAATATGGATTTTGTGTAATTAATTTAAATTAGATTTAATTGCAGTTTTAACATGACAGTCTATTAAAATTTGTTTTTAATGGAGAGATTCGGTTGAAATTGAAATAACCATCCATGTGCTTTTATAAAAGATTAATTTCAGATCTAAAAAAAATTATGTTAGGAATTTGTGAGAAAGAAACATCTAAATTTAGTCCAAGATGAATATTTTATAATTTCTAAAAAGAGTTCAATAAAAAGTTAAGAGGAATGTGAAGAGTGAATTTAAATGAGAGATTAAATTAAATGTGATTGTGACTAAATTTAAGGGTATCACACTGTTCATTTAAAATTAAGACAAATTTTTAAGATACTCATGATAAATAGTTGGATGTCGGTCTCTTTAATACAAATTAATTAAAATGTTTAATTTATTTTAAAATATAATAATTTAAAATGTGACATGACAATGAATAACTTTGTTTGATTGGATGAGAATATTAATATCTAGGGGTGAGAATAAGCAAGGTCGAGTTAAGTTTTTTTAAACCCGAGTATGATCTCTTATAAATTTCAAAGCCTAAATTTGTCTCATGGTTTATCATAAACTTTTTTAAGTCTGAGTCTGATATTTTCGAATGCTTATTTGACCTATCAACTTACATATAACTTATTTTATTTGAACATTAATAAATAAAAATTTAACTAATATTTAAATAGACTAACAAATTAAAATATTAATGAGACTAAATATTTATTTGTATTTACTTATTCAAGTTTACCTATTAAAATAAATTTAGAGATACTATTTGTTAAAAAGAACTATTTGTTTTTTTGGACATGGAGGGAAGTAATATATATATATATATATATATATATATATATATATATATATATATATATATATATATATATATATATATATATATATATATATATATATATATATATATATATATATATATATATATATATATATATATATATATATATATATATATATATATATATATATATATATATATATATATATATATATATATATGAGAAAAATTAGATTAATACAAAAATAGAAGGCAAACGAGCTATTCCTTTTTGGATCGCAAAATTAATTCTCTTAAAAACTATATCTATAGACATTGTTTATAAGTTTTTTTCGACAATTTTTCATAAGTTTTTAAAGATAATTAAGCTTTATTTTAATATTTTAATTTAAAATACAAGTAAAATATAATAATAACAAATTTATTTTTATTTATTCAAATAGGCTGACCTAATTGACTTAAAAGTTTCTTTTATAGTTTGTGGCTAGTATTTTTAATTAAATAAGACCTATGAAAAAGTCTAGGCATTTTATATTTTAAGAAAAGAGTCTGACTTGAGCTGAACTTGTGTTGGATAGATCGTAGGTGTTGGAATTAATTTATATTTTAGGAATATTTTATTGATTAAGTTTGTTAAAGGATATTTTAGTATTTTATTATACCCTAATTATGTATATAAATAGCCTAGTAGTAGGTAGGTCAATATAATTCATTATTCCTTATTTTGTAGTCGTCATTCAATATATTCCTTTTGTCTTTCATCTCTCCTTTGTACACCAACAATTGGTATCAGAGTTCCGGTTCGAAATCCACGGGGAAACACGAATGAACAATGAGGTGTTGTGTGATTGAGAATCACATTTTTCTGATTCTGTGGGATTTGGGAAACAGTGTGTTTAGTGAGTTTTTGAGTGAATTGCACAAGGTTGAAGATGAAAGGAAACATCGATATCAATTCCAAACTTCCAGTATTTGATGGCAAAAACTAGAATCGTTGGAAGATCCAGATGCGTGTGCTGTTTGGTTCTCAAGATGTGTTAGACCTTGTCACCGATGGCTATGATCTGATAGCCACAAACGCGACAGAGGCACAGAAGATAACGCAGAAGGCGATAAGGAAGAAAGATCAGAAGGAGTTGTTCTACATCCATCAATGTATGAATACGAACGTGTTTGAGAAGATTGCTGACTCTAAAACAACAAAGATTACGTGGGATACGCTGGTCAGATGTTACAGTGGTGACACATCAGTGAAGAAGGTAAAGCTTCAATCTCTCAGAAAGAAATATGAGAATCTCAACATGAAGGACAACGAGAAGGTTTATGAGTACATCTCTAGAGTGATTCTGGTCACTAATGAGATGAAAGCTTGTGGAGAAACTCTTTCTGAACAAGTAATCATATATTGAGATCTTTAACTTCTCAGTTTGATTACATTGTGGTAGCAATTGAATATTACAAAGATTTGAGCACCATGAGAGCTGAAGAACTACAAAGTAGTCTAGAGGTGTATGAGTTGTGTATGACTGGGAGAACTTCTGAGAGGAAAGTAGAGCAACAGGCTCTGAAAGTAACTTCTGGTAAGAAGTATCAGAAGTAGACTTGGTCAGAAGCCAGGAAGAAAACTAATGATGGTCAAAGGTCAGAAGCTTCAAACTCTGATAGGCAGAAGAATATCCAGAAGGGAAAGGAGAAGTATGATAAGAAGAATGTTCAGTGTTACTACTGCAAGAACTTTGGTCACTATGCCAAAGATTATTGGTCGAATAAAGAAAGGAAATCAGAAGAAGTAGATATAGTCATATGAGAGTCTGATGATGAACCTGTGCTATTGTTGACTTCTGAACCTGATAATATGAATTCATCAGAATGGTGGTATATGGACACAGGGTGTTCAAATCATCTTACTGGAAACAAGAAATGGTTGGTTGATTTTGACTCTGGAAAGAGTACAAAGATCAGATGTACTGGTGATAAATACCTCAATGCAGAAGGTATGGGAAATGTCAGAATCATTCTAAACAATGGGAAAGCAACAGTGATCTAGAATGTATGGTATGTATCTGGCATGAAAAGCAATCTGATGAGTGTGGGACAACTGATTGAGAAATTTTTTTCAGTTACCATGAAGGACAATCTTCTGAAGTTGTATGATTGTAATCAGAAGCTGATTATGGAGTCAGAACAGGGAAGGAACAAAACATTCAAGGTGAATGTTAGAACTGCATAGTCTAAATGTCTTAGTGTAACAAATGTTGTCAAGGAAAGTGAGACGTGGCACAGAATATTTGGTCATCTGAATTTCAGAAGCTTAGGGCATCTGAAATCAAAGAAGCTGGTACATGGAATTCCTACAATCAAGAAGTCTGAGAAGTCATGCAAGGTGTGCATGGAAGGGAATTTGCATCAGAAGTAGCTCCAAGAGCAAAGCATGCCTTGGGAGTAGTGCATTCTGATGTGCGCGGTTCATTTCTAGTAGCATCAATTGGAGGGAATAAATACTTTGTGTCATTTGTTAATGAGTTAACCAGAATGACATGAGTATCTTTCATAAAGTACAAACACGAGGTGTTTGCTGAATTCAAGAAGTTTAAACTGAAGGTTGAAAATCAGAGTGGTCAGACTCTGGAGATTCTTTGAACTGATGGTGGCGGTGAGTATAACTCCACAGAACTCAGAAGGTTCTGTGAGGAGAATGGAACTGAGCATGAGTTTACTTCTCCCTATACTCCTCAACACAATGGTCTTGCTGAAAGAAGAAACATACTTTACTTGATATGGTGATAAGCCTTCTGAAAGAGAAGAAGCTTCCTCATACTTTGTGGGGAGAAGTTGTTGCCACTGCATGTTATCTGCTCAACAAATGTCCAATGAAGAAGCTGGAGGAAATAGTTCATATTCAGAAGTGGACTGGAGATAAGCAAAGTGTTAGTCATCT